ACTCCCAGAATTCCCCAGCCAGCCGTGAATGCTGGGAGTTGAAGTCCACACATCTTCACGTTGCCAAGGTTGAGAAACACTGGTCCAGAGGATGTTGCCTCCCCTGTTTCCACACCATATCCTCCTTTTTTTAATTCTGACATTAGAGAAGAAAAGATGACATTTCAGTTTAAAGATGACATTTGTGTACAATGACTTTCTATTCATAGTGGAAGGGTGCCTTTGCCTGGAGTCATTTGGTACCTTTCAGAGATTTATTCAACCTTCTTTTAAAGTCATCTAAGTTGGCAGCCATCAATGCATGAAGAGGTGGCAAATACCATAGTTTAACGGTGTGCTGTTTCTTCTTTTGGTCTATTCAGGTTTTAGCATTATGAAAAAGGAGCATCTCTCCCATTTTTCTTGTTTAACTTTATCAGCTTGCATGACCTCCTTGAGTCAACTGGGTTTTTTTTTCACAATTAAAAATCTTAAAGCTGGAATGGGCATTTTCCTACAGTTGAAAACTGATTTTTTTTTCAACTTCTGTTCAGAGGCTTGCAATGATAGAATGAGAACAGTTAAAGCTGGAATTTGGGGGGGGGGGGGGTTGCTTTTTTTATGGGGATTGACTTTCCCCCAATAAAACGGGGGTGTTAAACCTATTAGAGTATAATAGGTTATTTATTTTACTGCTTATCTTTAAAAATATGTATTGTGAAATTGCACTGCTGTAATGAGGCAGTATGCCACTGAATTTCTATAGTAAGATGTTGTAACCTGCACAAAATTGGGGCTGATTCAGAGAGGGGAACTGCAGACTATAGGTTGCTCATCCTTGTCCTAAAAGTTGTAGATTTTCTTTTTAAGACGAGCGTATCTCCTAATAATTCAGTATACAGTCCTATCGTCAGAATAAACGAAAGTGATTTGAGCAGTAATAGTCTAATTGTGTACCTGTTTACCCAGAAGTACTACTGTGTTGGAATTTACTCTTTCAAAAATGTTGATATGATTGCACCCTAAATTTTAGGATTAAATACAATCACTGTGGATTTTATAGGACCACTGGTATTTACAAGACTTACTTTATAGGTGTTCAAGAGAAACAGTAACAGTGTGCGTGCTGTGACACAGTTCTTCCTCCTTTCCCTTGCACGAATGTTTATGGGGTGAAATGTAGCCACCTAAAAATGGCCGAGCAAACGAACTGCTCACAAACTTTTGAGTTAAATTGTTCATGCTCCCATTGTACAGGTAGGGAAGACTGAGGTTGCTACTGACTGGGGACTGGGTTAGATGGGCCACAAAACCACTTTCAACACTGTGATCTCCTGATTTCCTTCAGGCTAATAATCAAGCCAGAATTTCAACCCAATTCCATCTCCTCTGAACAATGTACTGATTAGCAACTGTCAGATTTTGGGTTTAATCATATCAGGGGTTGTACCTAGACTGTTGGTGGGAATCACAGATTCAGTTTCCCCCTTTTGTTTAGGACTTGCTTGGTGACTCTACCTTGCCTGGTGCCTTCAGATGCTTTGTGCTTTAACCCCTGGAAACCCCAACCACCATGGTGGCTAGAAATTATGTCTGTCACAGTTTCAACACTCCTGGAGAACATCAGGTTGGGGAATTATCTTCCAAAGTACCTGGCATGGGTAACGGGACAAACATCATTTGTTTAACTTACATCAACATTGTTTTCTATGATCAGAAAGACCAAACTCCAGGGTTTGTACCCTCCTGCAGCCAGATTCAGATTCCAAGATCTCTTTGCTCTAGAGCAGTGTTTCTCAACCTTGGCCCCTTTAAGATGTGTGGACTTCAATTCCCAGAATTCCCCAGCCAGCCATGCTGGCTGGGGAATTCTGGGAATTAAAGTCCATACATCTTAAAGTTCCCAAGGTTGAGAAACACTGCTCTAGAGCAAAGAGATCTTGGAATCTGAATCTGGCTGCAGGAGGGTACAAACCCTGGAGTTTGGTCTTTCTGATCAT